CACTGACCTCGGCCTGGAATCCGCCGGATATCATCCGCACTCCCCTAGTGGTACCGGTATTCTTCATCTACCCGCAACACGCCCAAAGCGATTTCATAAGCGATTATCACGAAGACACGAGCCTCTCCACCTACCTCTCCACCATCTTCCCCCTCAAAGCTCTCGGTAACCTACCATGGGACAGCGCAGCCGAGTACCACGAAGCCAACCTTAATGTCTATGCAACCACCAAGAGAAACAGGCTCTTGAAGATCGGCAAGAAACTTACACTCCGGCAGGTCATCCATCACGCCTTTAAACAAGCCGATCAGAGTAGAGGCCAAGACAGGGTGAAGGATAGAGATGGATTGGTAATGCGCGATGGTGTTTTGAGTTTGGTTGTTGTGCCCAAAGGAAAGGCGGAGGAGGAGTGGGTTGCCAGGTTTAAGGCTGAGAGGGAGAGGGAGAGGGAGAGGGCGAAAGAGTAGAAACCGGATGTCCTGTGTGCAAAGATGAATGGTTGTGTATTGCAAAAGGCGAGCGTTTATGGCTGTGTGTGAGGTTGCAATTGTGACTCTGAGCTTTCTTGTCCACCCTCTGCCGATCGTGCGGGTGCGGTGGCAGTGAAATCACTAGAGCTGGCGGAGAGTAAGAGACTCTGGCTACCAACGGGTGCGGGAAGGTCACCTGATTCGACTATCATTCCTTCTCCCCAGCCGGCTTGTCCATCTTGTCGCTGTGCAAAGAGATCGCCTTGCTCTGCTCCCGTGTGATCGGCAAAGACAGTACTCGGAGCAGCATTGAAATCACCCAACTCGATCCCACTCCCCGCTTCTTGTACCCCCTCTGCTTGCGGTGTACCAAGGGAAGAAAGAAAGAGAGCATGCTGTGACCGAAGCTGACATAATCCCCCTTGTAGGCTCCTCGGCTTCGTCAAGAACGGTATGTTTCCCTCCAACTCCAGAAACTGACCTTCCAATTCCAATCTTGAATCCTCCAATTCCAATCTTGAATCCTCCAAAGCGTTACTAGAGCTGAGATTCGCTGCTTCCACCTGAGCGGCGACTTGACTTGCACTTGGAGGCGGGCGGTTGGAGCTGGAGAAACTGTTCAAACTCCTCCCTTCTCCTCGCTCCCCTTGGTTTGTGCTTGAGGGAGGCGGGCGACGAGAGCGTCTACTCCTTCCTCCAGCAGAAGGTGAACTGGGTGTAGGCAGAATATCACCTGCCTCCTCAGCCTCCCTAGCCAAGGCAGCAAGTTCATCCATCTCATCCACCTCCTGTGCCCCTCCCACTCCCACTCCCACTTCTGGTCTTGCGAATGGTCCCATACCCCCCTGCTCCGCCACCATCCCCTCAACCCAGAGTTGAGGAGCAAGTTTCCTCCGTTTCTCATCGTTAACCCTAACCCTATCCTCCTGCGTCCGTTCTCTATCTCTTTCTTCCGCCTGGAATTGATCCCACAACGCTGCTTTTCTTCTCACCTGCTCCCCCTCAGTAATCTCCTTTTGGTTCTTCTCGAACTCTCTTTCCCTCTCTATCCTGATCATCTTCATCTTCCATCGCTCTATAGCATCTTGCAGAGCAGCAGAGTGTAGAGCGAGTCCCTGGGAAAGTTGCGCTTCCAGTTGGACAATTCGTGCTTCTGCAGCCGCAGCACTTGCTTGAGCAGAGGTGGATAAGGCAGAGGCTCGATCATATAGGGTTCGTATGAAATCGTGTTGTGCTTCTGCTTCTGACCTTTGCTTTTGCAACGTCTTGTTGTTGGTTGTTAAGGATTCGAGTTCTTTATTCGCCGCTTCCAGTTTGGATTCAAGTAGGATTATCTGCGCGTTTGCACTCTCCAAATCTCCTACACCACCAACAACCGCCGGTGTAGGGGTGTTGTGAAGTTGCGAAGAAGAAAAAGAAGAAGAAGAAGAGTTCCATTTCCTCCCATCGCAGTCGAACAGCACGCTATACCTTCTATCCGCCCTCAGAAGAACCGCTAAACTCTCTTCCAACTCATGCACATCAAACGTACCCCCGACGGTATCCAACAACAAAATCACCGCCGCCCCTCCCCTCCCTTGCGATTGAGATTGCTGGGTCAACTTCCCCACTCTCTCCCCTAGCTCTCCTAGCGATTCGAGGGTGGAGGAGGGGGTGGGGAGTAGGAGAAGATCCATGACCCAAGTTTGTTTGGTTCGTAAAAATCCATCTTCTTGCGTCTCAGAGTCGTCGTTTTGCGATTGTGATAGCGATTGCGATTGCGAGTTGCTCCGACGGCGGTGCGAGCGGGAGGAACGTTGCGATTGCGATTGAGACTGAGAGCGGCAAGAGGATGCGCGATGGGCACGGAGGATGAATCGGTCTATCTCGTCTTTTAGGAAACTTGGGATGTGTGGGGATGCATGCATCAACGAAACAAGTTCGGGGCGGGGGAGAGTTGACCATCCCACCAACCCTGCGCCCGAGGAAGTTGTTGAAGCGGAGGCGGATGTCGATGGCTGTGTTTGCTGTGCAGCTGAAAGAGGGGGCGGGGGTAGTGCGGGTGTGGATGACGGAGGTTCTGGTTGTGAAGGGATTGGTTCTAGTTCTGGTTCTTGTTGCAACGGTGCGAGCGGAGGGGCAGAAGTGAGTGCTGGTTCCCAAACCCCACCCTGATCATGATCGAACGCTGGTGCAGGAATCTGACTCAACACCTCTCCACTAACATATCCCTCTGCATACGGATTGCTATTTTCCGCTGTCAACGGTGGCAAAACCCACGTTCCGATCCTCGGAACCTCCTCCGGCCTCACCTCGACCACCTCTCGCGGGGAAAAGGATTCAACCGGACTACTACTCTCGCCCTCCCTAAACCGGTCGTCATTACCCCTTGCCCTTCTCCCCCTCTGCCTTTCCTTTTGCGCAATTCGGTCCTCAGCGAACTCAAGATGCAACCTAGTAGTATCGTCTAGAAACGGCTCGAACACCGACGCTGATATCGCAGGTAAAGGAGGCATGCTCGCACCGGTGGAATTAGAAGTATCTTGTTGAGTGGAAGGTAGGTATTCGCTTCCACTCTGCACTGGGTTGGGCGGTGCCGGTTGGGAGCTGCCGAACAGAGAAGCGGGGAGGGAGATCTGTGAGTCGCCAAGTTGAGAAGAGGGGAGATGGGAAGCGTGGTATGCAGCCATGGCTGATAATGAGGGTTGGAGGACTTGGACGTATACTCCGCCTCCGACATGTTGCGAATCGTTGTTTGTTGGGTGCGGCCGGAGTGCGGATTCCGGTTCTGCTGTGCGCCTTCGTTTCAACCCCGGCGGCGCTGCGGAGGGTGAGGGCGGTTGCGACATGATATCTCGCCGACCGCCTTCGGATGGATGATAGGTGGTGGTGGTGGTGGTGGCGGTGGAAGATGCAAAACAAGGGTCCCAAACCAACACACCGCATGTCACGCCTGGGCACCTTCTCGTGCGAATAGATGGCATGCCGCACGAGAGAGTTGGAATTCCTATCGTTGCTTATGTAACACTGCATTCATGAATTCTCTCCCCTTTCTGTTTTCCCGATTTCCGAAATCGCGCATCCACCACCGTTCAAGGATCGCACCGCCTCACAGCTGGTTTGCTTTCTCGTCAACACGCGTCGCATCATAGAAGCAGAGCAGCAATGTTGCCGACTCTACGACTATCCTCACGCCAACCGCTAAGGTTGACAATGTACACAGGCACAGACTGTTCGCTATGCGATCTGATGAAGCAACAGATCGAAATCGCATCGCAAAGTATGCCTCAAATCCAACTCTGCACTTACAACATTCGCGACGATTGCCTGGCGGAAGTTCATGTTTGGCGGAGCAAGTATCAGTATGATATTCCTGTGCTGCACTTGGGCGATAGAGGTGAGTGCGCAATTCCGCCTCCGTTCTTCTCGAATGCGGACTGTCGGCTGATAAATAGATTTCGAGTTTCGTGATGTGAGGGCTTAGAGATCTTTCGACACCGAGTAAGCGCAGAAGATCTGGTCAAGAGGCTGCGGCAAGAATTGGACGAGCGGAAGGATAAAGAGTAAGAGCAAGAGCAAGGATTGCAGGCGTGATAACTGAAGGGGTATATGGTACATCGAATGCAGGTCGGAAGAAAGGACAAGGCGGCTGAGGCAGGAGCTTACTGTTGTGCAGCAGCATTCGGATCCTAACCGCGCGGACGAACGGCAAAATTGTATAAAGAGCAAGAATGTCAGCTTCCTCCTCCTCGCCTGGAATCAATACCTCTCTGAACGGTGATGTACATACCTGAAGCACAACAAGAAGGTACTTATCATTAGGGGTCACCATAATCTCAAACCTCTTCGTCCTGACTCTCAAAAACCGCAACTGATCTCCTCCATTGCCCGCTCCCCCGTCAAGCGCCTTCAAATCCTCACTCAGACCCTCAACACTTGTCTTGACCAACTTGGTCACTCCCTTCAGCAGCTCCGCCCTCCCCTTTGCACCTGGACCACTGGGGTCGAACACTGCACCTCCGCTTCTAATCACCAAACCATCGTGTCGGGAAAGGACGAGACAGCCGAGCACGCCTTGATGAGAGGAGAGGCGGGTTAGGGTTGCTTCGATTTCAGCTGGTGGTGCTGAGGTTGAGGTCGAAGAGGGCGGCATTGGTGATTTGCGGTTCGCTGATAGAGGCGATGTGGAGAGTGGACGAGGAGCAGAGGTGGAAGAGGGATGCGAGGTGGGGGGGATGATTGAGATGTGACCGGACGCTGGTGCGAGGGGTTGCGTCGAGTCCGTCTGTCTCCATCACCAGCGATACCGAAGAGGGTTGCGAGTTAGTACACAACGACGACTTGGCTGCTGATTTTGGGGATCGAGACTTACCATTCTGTACAACAGACCTTCTGATATGAAGGCAAAGATGGTGGAGAGAACCAAGAAAGGTCAGAGAGATGCAAGAGATTTGAGGATATTTTCTCTTATCGCTCCACATCTCCCTTTCCCTCCTCTTTCCGCCCAAATGTCTGTCTATAACGACATTTCTGTTAGTGGACACTGACACAGTGGGAGAGGCTTAGTGGTTTGGCGTGAGATTGCAACTTGTCTTTAAAACAAAGAAAGGCGCCTTTAATAAGCATCTTGAGGTCGTGGGTTCGATTCCCACCTTCCACTTTTCTTTTTAACCCATCCCATTCCCTTTGCTTCCCAATTCTTTCGGAACACGGACGGACATCTGGAAAGCAAGACTTTTTTTTTTTTTTTTTTTTTTTTTTTTTTTTGCTACGAACAGGCAACTTAGTTACCGACCACCATCGTTCCCCAAGGCAACGGACAAAGAACATATCGAGGATCCCACTTTCTGGCAGTCTAGGGCAACAAATAGGAACGATAAGGTTGCCAAGATGCCGATGATCGAAGTTCTAGCAAACGATAGGTTGGGTCGTAAAGGTTGGTCTTCCTCCCGCTCCTGCTGCGCAGCCGCCTTTACCCTGGCCCAGGTCTTTGTTTTGCCAAAAGTACTCACACGCAATCCTCCTGTTTCTCTCTCTCCTCACTCTGGCCTGGTTCGGCGGGTGGTTAGTGAGGGTAAAGTGTTCGCCAGAAGACACAATTGGAGATCTTAAAAAGCTTATTGCTGCTCAAACTGGAACTCCGCCTGAAAAAGTATGCTCCCCCCAGCTCCTCCTCCCACGTACACCTTCACTTTTGTTTCTTACGAGCAAAGCGTTAGCTGACATAGTCCGCGGTCATCGATGTTGCATTGCGACGGTGCAGATCATCTTGAAAAAATGGTACACGGTATATAAAGACCACATCACCCTTGCAGACTATGAAATCGCAGATGTAAGTATCCCTGCCAGCCTCGGTTGCTTTGAGGTGTAGAAGAAGGATGGCGGAGAGGAAGCGGAGAGGAAGAGGGTTACAAGCTGACAAAACGATGGATTTGCTTGCCGTGTGGTTCGTGTTAGGGATTCTCTTTTGAAATGCAATAAAACCAAACCCAACGAACAAGGGTTTGCTGAAGGTAAACAATCCAATATGATGATGTAAGCTGACATGAGACGATGCGAGAGGGATCGGGCGAAGTAGATCTGATCAGAGATCGGGTACAACCTAGTCCCGCTCGTTGTCAGACTTTGTCATTAAGTAGGATACACCCACATTCGGCATATGCCACACAGATGTATATATATCAAGCTGAGAGCACTAGGCTCTCACCACGTTCTTTTAGTCAATTGAGTATATGTGTTTCTGTCTTAAGATAGCAGTGACATCGTACTTAGACTCTCCCCGATCGCCAGTTATCGGGACCCAAACGTCTTCAAACTTCAACAGGGTTAGATCCTGAGATTGCGGGGAAATTTCTAAAAAAGAATGCATTGACGGGGACTCGAACCCCGGTCGAGTCGAATTGAGTGAATTTAAACACACCTGAATACAGATGATGAGACTGGCAACGACTCATGATACCCCTACACTATCAATGCTTTCATACTTACCTCCTCCACCAGTGTGTATATAACCAATTACTATCCTGCCTACCTTCTTGGCTAACTTCTTGCCTCCCTCACGAGCATACTCAGCATGGTTTGTATCACACGCGAACAAAGACGGCGGAGGAAGTTGATTGAGAATCGCACGACAAACCACAGAAGGAACGTGTTCAACGCTAGAACGGCAAAGCCTGTCTGTAAGCAACGAAAGCGTGCAAATTCTCCACTGCCTCCTCGGCGGCTTCTCTCAGACTGACATGTCTTCTCCTATCCACGCTCCTTGCCAGCGCTTTACACCTAAACAGCGTCGGTCTGATGCTGGACAGCAACCGTGCTTCTCTGAACGCCAGCGCATCGTAGTGGCTCTTTTCATCGGCGTAGGTATCGATGATTCCGTTGAGAGCTGCTACCATGCTTTCCACATTTGTTCCACTTGCGCTCTCGCTCGGGCTTTCAGCGATGCTCTCGAGGATGGAAACCAGAAAAGACCCGATATGAGCGTTGAGCGTGGGATGAACGAGGGGGGAACGAGCAATGGTGGATAGGAGGAGGATGCATTTTACTCTCATGCCATCCGTGCTAGCTGACCAATAACCAGTGGTGAGGGCGGTGATGATTTCCGAAGAAACCGCAGAGGGATCGGATACGGAGAGGGAGGTAGGAGAAGAGGCGGTGCGGGAAGAAAGGGGAACCGAGCCTTGGAGAATGCGAGCAATGGACCAGAGGGTTCCGATGCATGTTTCTACCATTCCCAATCCATCCTTACCTTCCTTCTCGCCCGTGGTGGTGCTGGTAGATACGGGGATGGAATCCGTTGGCCTACTGAGGCTGACGTTAGCTACGGCTGGGACACTTGCGCAACCACGAGCTATCTCGAATAACGTTGCCCAGATGCTCTTCAGGCTTTCTTCCTGCGGTGGTGTTTGGGTCCAGGTGCGGAAGGCTGCGATTCGACGTAAGATTTTCGCATCCGTTGCTGGCTGGGAGGGTGGAGGTGGAGAAAATGCCGCAAGGCGCAAAAGAAGGTTGTTGAGAACGGATAGGGAACGGAGATGCAATCCCCTCAACAAGTCGGATGCGCGGGTGCCAGGATTCGAGGTTAGGGAGGGGAAAGAAGCTTCGAACGGCCTAGCTAGCGTCAACAGCGCTGAAGTCAGAGAGGGCGAGTTGGTGGTGAAAAGACTAGTGAGAACGGGAGCATAGGCAGTAAAAGCAAGTGTACCTGTACGTTTAACTGCATCTGCAAACGTATTGCCACGAGACGAAGTTAGACCCATATCGTCATCATCACCACCCTCCTCACCTTGATCTTGGGCCTTGTCTTGGATCCCGGGGGCTTCGGAAGGATGACCAATATCCATCTCCTCGTCTTCTTCTTGATCGGCATCTGGATCCTCTAACCACTCATCATCGCCTCCTTGCTCCTCCCCAACCGCACTTGCATTAGCGTTGGAATCAAACGAGGCAGCCATCTCGGCCAAAACCTCGAGCGCCAACATCAACGTCTGTGCCTTCTCTTCGGCCCTAGCCTGCATCTTGGCCCTCACTTCTGCCTCATCTACATCCTTATTTCCGTCGAGGGAAACAGCTTCGTCGACGTCACCGCGCCCATCAAGGTCGTGGGCTAACTTGGTCATTTCCACTCCCGACAAAAGGCGGGTGAGGGTGGGGAGAACGATGGATTCTTCGTACTTTTTCAACGTCATCCCCTCCCCACCCGCATTGTTCGGGGAGAAGGGGATGGGGAGGAAGATGTGCAAACAAGTGATCCGAGGAGCAGCGTTCTTGCGTGCCTTGCCGCCACGGGAAGAAGAAGCAGCCTTAGCATCGACTGCAGCAGCAATATTCCTGAAAATACCAGCAGATAGTACACCGAGCATAGTAGTCTGCGAAAGGATATATCGCTTGAGCTTGTCGATGTTGGACTGGTCGGTTTGGACGCAAGCTTCGAGGAGGGTAAGTGGCGATTGGATTGCTGTGAGACAGCGGGTTGCTGCTGCTGGTTGTTCGGATAGCGATTGCGCCAGAGGTGCCAAGTCTGCAGCTGGAGTGGGGTCGAATTTGCTACCTTTCTTCTTGTCCGCAGCCGCAGCCGATCTGGGAGGGGAAGAAGGAGTTCTACGAGAAAGCAAACCATCAAGGAAATCGGCTTCTCCTCCATCGGTTAGTGCACATAGTGCATTCCCCGATGCCAAAGCCAAATCCAGTAGCAGGGAAAGCTCTTGGTTGGAAAGCACGGCTAGAGTCTCGCTCGAGTTCGAAGCGGTTCTCGAACCATGGTCTGGAGCAGTAGAGAGTACAGCAGCAGCTCTCGAACCCAAAGCAACTGCTGACGACAACCAGGAAGCTAAACCTTGGCCGCTCAGCTCTTGATCCGCAGCACCTGCACCGACGAGATCTTGGTCAAGCCACTTCCATGTGGCAAGTTTAGCGAATGCTTTGTCGCCCGATTCGCAAAGACACCATACGAGCGTGACGAGGTTCTCAGCGGTCTCAATGAGGCCTTTGCGCGTGGTGCTGTCGAGGCTGAGCAATGGTTCTCGGCGGTTGTTGTGCCAAGTTGCGGCATTTGCGCTGGTGTCGATGGATTGGTTTGCATCGCCATTACGACTTGAAGGGTGGAAGCAAATGAGTTTGCGCTCATCATCCGCAGACAACCCCTGGCCGGCAACTTGTTCGAGGGTCTTAGCGAGAGCGGTAGCGAGTTTGGTTGCGTGTCGCTTTTCCTTCTTATTCATCTTGTCGAGTGGTTTAGCTAGTAGCGCACGCTTGGCCTCAAGATGCTGCTCTGGGGTGGGAGCATCGTCGATAAAGGACATGGAGGAAAGAGTACTGTCGAAGCCAAGCGCATTACTAGCCCATCTCAAGGCTGTCAGGATAGCTGCCACGCCACCTTTATTCACCACCTCATTCCTAACATCAATGCCTGCATCCACACAAAGATTACGCAATGCACCACTAGCCTCCCTCCTCACATCGACCTGTGTATGCGACTGAAGAGCGAAAATCAGCCTGCCCACCAGATTATGAGCTAAGAGCAGTTTGCGATGCTGCTTGACCTGGGCAGCGGACTGAGTCGAGCTGACGGAGAGAAGCAGCGAAACTGATGCCAGGGACCATACTTTATCAGCCAAGATGATCGAAGGAGCATCAGCAGGTGTCGGTCCATCGGGAAGGTTAGCGAGGAGAGGAACGATATCGTTGGATGCTGATGTTTTGCTTGGATCGCCACCGTCGGTTGCTTTGGCAGCTCGTTGGAGGGCATCGAGGGTAGCAGATGAGACGACAGAGGCGGAAGCGGATGAGTTTGCTGCGTTACGGTTGGCTAAAGATTTGGAAGAGGAGGAAAGAGGATTGTGTCGGTGTAGTTTGCGCTGATGACGCTGTGGATCGAAGCCTGATTTGGGCATTTTGGCGGATGCTAAGCCTTTCTTTCCCACGGTGTGATGATGATGAGGAGGAGGAGGAGGAGGAGAAGAAGAGAAGAGAAGAGAAGAGTGATGGTCTGAGAAGAAGAAAGTGTCACAACCGAGAAAAAGTGTATTTCTTTCTCACGTGACTCAAATTCTGTGTTTTCTATTTCGACCTAACATTGTCTGCACTTGACCGTGCTGGAGATTACGATCCAGTCCGATGCTAAAGGATGACATAGATCCGATCTGATAGGAAATCGGGCAA